GCATTTTTAGAGTAACGGTTCTCAATTATTATTGTTGTATCTTTAGGTCAAACTAGCCGTGCTGTGTATCTCCCTGCTGGAGGCCAGTGGTACCGTTTCACAGATGACAAGTGTCCTTTAGACGATCCTGTTAATGGTGGGGTAGAGTTTGATTTCTACGCCCCTTGGGACGATCCCAGTAGAGACAACTGTGCAATTTACGTCCGAGAAGGTGCCATCATACCCAAGCGTGAGGTGGAGCAGTACATTGGTGAGTTGTATCGTCACGACAAGGTAAATCCCATCACCTTCAGTGTCTATCCCGGCCGAGACAGCAGCTACAAGCTGTATCTGGACGATGACGGAGCGAGTAACAAGGCAGAGACCGCTGGCGAGTACAGACTGACTGAAATCAGTCATCACGGTAAGGCTTTATCAAAACCTTCCTGTAACTGAGTCGTACTATTTATAAAAACCAGAGATCTCAGGGTTTTAACTCGGCGGCTAAAACTTCTGGGCTTACACGAACGTTCCAACAGCGTGCATCAAGGCTGTCTAAAGTTGTCTCACACGAGTTTGAAACAACCAGTAAGTGGCGGTGTTTTAAAAGCATAGAACTAAGTTTCGGTGAAGCTAAAAGCAGAATAGTAAATCAACAGGATAACCGTATTTGAATGAGCTTATGTTCGAAAAGTTTCGATTTCTCCCTTTCCCTAGTTTTGTTTCCTCCAAGAAATTTCTATGAACATTTTAATTTTCTTTCGCCTCTTTTGTGAGATAGGGGTCGTTTCTAAGTTTCTTATTGAGATTTTGCGCGGGAAATTGGCGCGCGACTAGTCAGAATTGATCCCTTGCGCATGCCTGACGATCGGATCGTTGTTTTGCATTAAGGCAACCAAACGAAGAAGGTTAAACGGTGAAAGGAAACGTCGACAAAACTTGTGATCTTTCCGCTTTCATTACATACCATAACAATTTGGAATTCAGGACTCTCGCAAACTGACGTATGAAAATATCATAATGATTTCATAAGGAGCTTTCTGGTTTCCGCTTGTTCAATTATTCTTCAAAACTGTCTTTTTCGAACACCAGGAATTGCAGGAGGTCAGCGGATTCGTATCAAGCGTCTGCACGACAAATTCAAACCACGTGAGACGTTTTACTACCTTGGAATGCCGGGAACGATTTCTCCAACGTCTGTCAAGGCTGCCGGGAAAACCGTGCCACAGAAAACCGGAAACACGGACGAAGAGGCCGCGAAAGCCTTGGTGAACTCCACGGACACACCAGGATCCTTCTA